CACCCGGGAGAATGTGGACCGCGTGATTGAGGCCCTGAGTGAGGCCCTGCAGCGCTGCCCTAAGAAGAAGCTATGACCACCCACTGGCCCACACCCAGCCAGAGGGACTCAGGAGGACCCAGCAGCAAACAGACCTTGATCAGTGGGGCTGGGTATAGGAAAGCTATAGACCCAGCCAAAGGCAGGTGGGGTGGGGGGGTAGGTGCAGAACCTTGGCAGCACCCTTTGGCCCAGGCAGCCCTTCTCCTTCCAAGTGGGTCTTCCTGGAATCAGGTCCACTGGCCCAGGACCTCAGGACCCCTTCTGCCGTCCACATGAACTACAGGCCTCACTGGCCACTGGCCTTCTGGGTACATTCAATAAAGAGTGACTGGTGGTCTCTCTTTGCTGTGTGGAGTGGACTGTGCATCTGACAGGGGACACCTGCCCCCTGCACCACCCTGTTGTGCACACCTGGGGGGCACGCTTCATCCCAAGAGGCCACAAGGCAGATCCTCTTTTGGGGCCTCCCTTGGAGTAGGGGATGCTGTCACCACACCCTGGCCCCAGATGTCACACCTTTCCAACACATCCTCACACAGTCCCCATGGCTGATTGTCCCTACAGCCCTCAAATGCTCAGCTAAGCTTGCCCGGAGCCACATTACTACCTCTGCTTGGTTTCCTTAATTCCTGGGAAGGGCCTGATCAGCCCCAATACCCTTAGGGCCAGGAAGTGCTCCAGGCAGCCCCGGCTACTCTGCCTTTCCAAGTCTTCCCTGGATTGAGAAGCCCTAGGAGGAAGGCTGAGGAGCCCTGTGTTGGGTGGGGGCTGGCCTGGCTCTGTCCTCCTCACTCAGCCAGCATAGTGGCATGTGCTGGGACAGGGCCCTGAGTAGGCCTTTGTGGTCATGCTGATGGGGCCACACAGACCCTAACCTCACAGCTGTGACCAGCAAAGGACCCAGAGGGACTGGATTCCAGAATGCAGAGTGAGGAGCACCTCTTGGCAAGGAGGCTGGAGAGTCTGGGAGCTGGAACATGCAGTCTGAGACTTTGGTCTTTGTCCAGAGAGCAGCCCAAAAGCAGATACTGAGACCAGAATTCAAATGCAAGCAGCTTATTTGGGAGGTGACCCTAGAATTCAAAATTGAGGAGGGGGTATTTCTAAATATTTTATTGTTCTTTATTTCCAATGTATCTTTGGAGGTCATAGACCACACTGCACATGGTAATTTTTTTGTAAATCTCTGGCCATAGTCCTGGCGACTATCCCATGGTCACTTGGGTGAGTGTCCTCTGCCTTGTCAGCTGGAGGTCCGTCAGTGTGGGTGTGTTGCCCGAGCCTTCCACGTACTCACTGCTTGAGGTGTCTGCTGTTTCTATCACACTGGCTGGGGGGAGGGGGGGGTTTCAAATCTCCAAGTATGATTTTGTCTGTTTCTCTTTTAACTCTGTCCACTTGTCTTCATGAATTTTGAAGGTCTCTTGTTAAGATTGTTATATCTCCTTGAGGAAGAAAGGTTTTTTCCTACCATTGTGAAATAGTTTGCTTTACCTCTGGTAATATTCTTTGTCTTAAAGTCTGCATTTCCTTTCCTGGGGCCACTCGCCTCTCTACACAATGTGTGAACAATTTATATTTCTCGATGCTCTGCCCACCAGGATTTTTATACCACTGTCTCCTAATAACCTGAAGACCAGAAAGTCCATTTGCTTTGCACCAGCAGAGCAAGGCATTCTGAGCCAGACTAGGGTTTTCTTCTTCCATTGGCTGGTCCTCGGGAACCCTCTCAGCCATGCATGTGCAGTGAGGGAGAGGCATGGATGTCCCATACATGAGGACGGCTCAGCCACTGTCCATGTAGCTGGCTTGCTTCCTCCTCCCCTGCTTGGCCTGACCTTGAATGGACCAGGTCCATGTACAGCAGCTTACTGCTGCCCCACCACTGCTATCCCCAAACTTATGACCCTAAAAGACTCAGCTCATGGTGGGCAGCTCAGCCACACAGTTACTTGGTGTCCGCTGGCCAGGGGCTCCTATATGAGGACCCAGTATCATTCCAAATGCTGCTTTCTGGGCAGCACCCATAACTCAGTTTGTAGGGTGCCGGCCACAAACACCAAGGCTGGCGGGTTCGAACCCAGTCCGGGCCAGCTAAAACAACAAAGGCAAAAAAAAATGGCCAGGCATTGTGGTGGGTACCTATAGTCCCAGCTACTTGGGAGGCTGAGGCAAGAGAATTGCTTAAGCCCAGGAGTTTGAGGTTGCTGTGAGCTATGATGCCACAGCATTCTACCGAGGGCAACAGCTTAAGACTGCCCCCACCACCAAAACAACAAAAAAATGCTGCTTTTCCGAACAGTGGTTAGTTCTCTGCTACAAAACTTCAGCTCCCATGTCAGGGCTTGCCCAAGACACCCCTTTTTATTGTGGGTGCCGCCAGCTCCATGGTGGTGTCCTAGTCTGAACCTGCTGAAAAGTCCACTGTGCAGCTCCCGGCTCAGAGCTGACAGCCTTCTGAGTCGCCCATAAGTGGACACCCCTCAGTGAAGTGCACGCCGTCTCCAAACCCATCAGGCCCACCAAGCACAGGCCTATTTCTCATGGTAGGTAGGGCAGGGTACAAAATCTCCTTTCCCTTAGGAGCGATGTCTGGCCACGCCACAGACTACTGGGCCTCTAAATTCTCCACCTATGGGTCATCCCCTGGGACTCTGTGAGGTCTGTCCCCCATCTTTTGGAAGGAACCCATCACTGGGAGCCTATGACATCTCCAAGTTCTGAGTAGTGAAGTGCCGTCAGTATAGACAATGTCCAGAGGACGAGGGCCCGTAAGGCCTACATTGTGTTTCAGAGCCAGGGCGTGAATGCCAGCCTGGGCCAGACCATGAGCACATACTGCTGTCTCTCCCAAGTGAATGCAGACGATTTCTGCTCCCCCCACCTCAATGGTGGTTGGAAAGAATGTGTCCCCCAGACCAGTGTTCACCTAGCAAATTCCAGAGGCCCTGCCGTCCTGTTCTACTCAAGACAGAACATCTAGCGCAGTACCAGGACTTGAAGGCTACAGTTGTTTTTGCTGGTGCCATGCTGGTGAATTAAAGACTTTACAGCTGGCAGTAAATTCTGTTCTTGCACTCAGGGTATGGTGTGTCTGGCTGCAGGCAAGCTGGATTACGTTGGCTATGGGAGTGAGGATGGTTACAAAATCTTCCCCTTGGCCTTTCCTGCTTTTATAGCTCCTACCCCTGCTAAGCACCACCATCCCAATTCATACTCAGACACCCAGGAAATGACCACACGGTGGGCCCTGGACCTTCTGGGTTCACTATGAGTCAGATTTGGACCAAGAGTCTATATTCTACACATCCCTGCTGTAATGAGGGAGGCATGATGGCATTTTGTGTCCACTTCATTGGTGTCAGCTCAGGCCCTGGACTCTTCAAGGGACCTGGGCATTTCCTGTCATCAGAGTGTGGTTGCTTAGGCACATGGTCAGGGGTCCCTTCAGAGGAGTCTTGGTGGCCTGCTATGGAATTGCAGGCTTCTCCCAAGACCCCAGGGTGAGAGCTGGGCTCAGAAGCTAAAGGTAAATGCCACCAAAGGCCAAACAGTGTTAGGCTGAGATGGGATGGAGGGCCGGGCCAGGAAAAGATGCTTTGTCTGAGGGGTGTCCATTGAAAACAGATGACCCCGGCTCAACGCCTGTGGCTCAAGCAGCTAAGGTGCCAGCCACATACACCTAAGGTGGTGGGTTCGAATCCCCAGCCCGGGCCCGCCAAACAACAATGATGGCTGCAACCAAAAAA